AGAATAAAAGTTACGCCTTCTTTCTTTGCGTGAACATTTGGGCGGCGTTATGCAAATCTTCCCGCATAGTGAGGTAGATATGTGGGGGCGTGTTCGAACGAGCCGTTTTAGGTAGGTGTGGCTGACTCTTAACTTTTATAAAGAATATCTCTTTGGATATTCATACTCTTTACAGATCTGATTTATGCACCAAGAGCTTGTAACACTCCAAAGAGAAAGGAAAAAATGAAATCGCATCATATGACCCCTTTAAATATTTGAAGCACAAACCGATGAGATGCTTGAAAAGGCAAACCTGTTTTTGATTGGCTGGAGATTGTCATGGTAACTGATAGTAGTAAGTAGCCGGGACTAAACGTCAATATGATTAATGACTTTGATCTTTGTGACCTTTCCCCTCCCCCACATAGCCCACCCCGTTCGTGACCACCCGCATCGTGTTGACCCTGTGACCTGTTAATGATATCCATATGTGGAAATGTGGATGTGGACACGACCTGTGACCTTTTAATTATCTCCTGGTGTACAATATGAAGACTGATGGTTGTTGAACTCTGTCCTGGTGTCAGGACATAAATGAAGTCCTGAGGCTCATTTTTGAACTTTTAATGGTCCGTTTTAAACTCTTCCATCCGGGGCCACCATCTGACGTCCACATGACAGGCCGCATTCCATTGCATGCTGTGTTATGCTCTCTCTCTCTCTCTGAGATGTGAGAAAGATGTTGATTTTAAGGACAATATCAAAAATAAGTAAACAATTGTAACAGATAGGGATGTAACGATTAACCGCGAGCCGGTTGAAAATCGTTTCAAATATGTGACGGTTCAAATCGGTTGAGATGCTAAACAAATCGCAATTCATTTAGGGGTAGGAGTTTATATGAATGTATGTCTGAGGGTAACTTACTGTCTTTAGAAAAGTTTAGATGGTATTTTTTCTTTTCCTCTTGCCTCTGTATAATGCATATTAAAGTTCATAAGTGCAGAGTTGCTTTGTTTACAGCCGAAACTAAGGAAACTCTTTAAGCGCCACCTGCTGGCAGAGAGTGAATCTGCGTCTCATTCAGCTCGTCCGCTGTTTCATGCAGATATTTTTTTATGTATAGTTTCAGAAAACTGAAGTCAAACCATTCTGTTTTTGTTTCAAATTTTGAAATTATACAAATTTATATTAAAAACTGCTCATGTATGGAGCATCTTTGTTTGGGTCATGATTAAAATGCAGTGGTTGCCTCTAATTTTAAATGGAAAGAGCACAGACAAAGCCTTATTTTGTTTATATGAAGAGATTTCTTTTATTTGTGTTACTTATTTATTTGATTTGGGGCTTGTTTTAAAATTTCAATTTAGTTTTGTTATTTACATTTACATTATATTTAAATTTTGTTATTTAGCAGCCGCTTTTATCCAAAGTGACTAACAAATGAGGATAATAGAAGCAATCAAAACCAACAAAAGAGCAATAATATACAAGTGCTATATTAGTATATTATTATAGTGTTATACTTCAGTTTCACAAAGAAACATGCAGCATTTTGTCCAAGCAATAATAAAAGGGACACATTTAATTTATAATTTGTCTTAAATCTCATTTTGTTAAAAAAAAAAACATTGTGAATCAAATCGTGAGTTGAGTGAATCGTTACATCCCTAGTAACAGATCATGAGGGCCTATCACAATATGCGTGTGCGCACCCACACATATAATCTGATGGTTCTATAAAACGATTCTCAGCAGCATTATACATTTTTTAAATAAAAAATGTAACATTACTAATAATGAATTGGGGTAAAACAATAAAAACTTTTAGCTTAAAGGGGTCATATGATGCTATTTTAAAGATCATTATTTTGTGTATTTTACATTTACTGTAAAGAAAATGCAATGTACCAATTTTATTTTATATAAAGTAAATATTTTACAAAATATTTTTGAATCCAAAATTGCTATAAAATTAAAGCCTTATGTCTAAATAAGTTATGTTCCAAATTTGAAGTTGATGTATAAAAAATTGAGGTTCCTGTGAGGTTTTATTTAGGGCGTTATACCACAAACAGCCACCGGGTGCCATCCAAACTCTGTAGAATTTTTGTTGATGCATTTTTCTGTCACGAAGGTCTAAATTTCTCTGTCAATATTACTTCCATCAAAAAATAACCACCAAATATGGAATCTTGAGACTCAGACCTTTCCAAATATATGTATTTTGTCAAGATTATAAAAACGTTTGATTCTAAAAGGCTGTAATACATTTTGTAATATGACACTTGACTTCTCCCACTAAGGGGAGGAGACCGCTAAAAGATTTTAAAGTACCATTTCCATGGTAAAGCAGTGTCCGATTTAAAAATGGTTTTCACAGCATGAATTCTGAGGTTTCTGAGTAAGTCTTAAATCCAAAGAGATATTCTTTATAAAAGTTAAGAGTCAGCCACACCTACCTAAAACGGCTCGTTCTAACACGGCCCCACATGTCTACGTCACTATGTGGGAAGATTTGCATAACGCCGCCCAAATGTTCACGCAAAGAAAGAAGGCGTAACTTTTATTCTCGCTGTAGTATTGTTGCCGCCGCCGCCATGTCGTGAAGGCGCTGTGTTTCGTTGTGAAAGCGAAACTACTTTGTTTGGCCTTCCAAAAGAGGATGATATCTGCTTCGTCATGCCTAGAGCTGATCCGTGCTGGTCGCTGAGGAAATACATCAACTTCGCGCTGTGGATCACCGGATCGGCTTTCACCGTGGACGAAGCGGAGTCCAGCCCGGGGTCGTCACATGTGGTTGCCGCAAGCCCGCCGGCCGCTCCTTTGTCGAAACTTTAGTGGGGTCAAAGTGACCATTTTGTATCTTTTAGTAAATGTACAGTGACTAAAATAAGTAATTTAACACAGTAAAGTGACTTTTACTTGTGATACTTGACTGTTGTTGTATCTTTAAAAATGTTTTTCTCAAAATTCCATTCATGAAAATCATAGCGATCAATCGACTTCAGATAACCATAACTTTTGTTACAGACAAGCTATGAAAGAAATGAAAACAGATGTGAAATGGGTAAAATTTCTCCATGTGATGGGGTTTTCCAGATCGCATCACATATGTATATATGTATTTTTTTACTTACCACATATGATCTGGCAGAGCTGGGACTGAAGAAATGGCGGCTTCCCACATTTTCCCTTCAAATTAATTTGTGACTCCATTTGAGAAAGTTCAGTAAAACAAAAATTAAAACCATTTAATGAAACATCAAGACAGTAAAAAGAATATGACTAAAATATGATTAAATAAATTTGATCATCTAACAAAATTAATTTTTGGTTTATTTAAAGTTATTTAAAGAAATCAAAATTAAAAGTTTTTTGGGTGTTAGTATCAATATGTTAGTCTTAAGGTTATCTATAAGGCAGTGTGCTCCAAAACAGTGACAAAATTCGCATTTAGAAGATATAAGCATTCAAAGCTTGCAGTTTGTCACTTCCGCCAAAATGGATCAATGATTTTTTTTTGCATCACCTCATACTTCAGCTTCTCATCAAATCTTCTGACCAATCAAATGCTCTCTGGTATCTGAAACGTCCCGCTCCCTTCAAGACGCTATTGCTGCAGCTGAAATCGTTCATTTATTCACATGTCACTGAGCGTTCATACCGAGGGTTCGCCTAAACACTTGCAAATATAAGAAAACAATAAACGGTAGCCGAGACTGTGTTGATCTGAACTCCTCCACGTTTATTAGTCGTAGGAGATTCAAAATTAAATCTGTTACACACAGTTACAGTTTTTATATGGTGAATAGTACTCGGAATAGAGTCGGTACGGACCACAAAACATATCGGACCCATTTGAATTAAACTGAAAGCTGTATTTTAAAACGGTTAGACAGACTCTGCATTGTTATTATAGACTGTGAAGATACGTCACGCCGCGTTGCATGCTGGGGCGCTGCCGCCATTCTGGGAGGATCGTGCTCGGCTAGTGTTAATACCAATACCTTGTTTTGATTGCGTAAAGCGTTGAAATTTTGATGTAGAAGGGATAAAATGGAGAAGTGTAATAAAAAGGAAAGTGGGCCCTACCGGGACAATTTAAATGTCAACGCCAAGCAACGGTATTACGAAAAATTAAAGACAATTAACAACATAGATCCATATGAATTGCCAGCACAAGAATGGTTTTCAGATCCCGAAGCACTACCTCCACTCACATATCCATCATTACATCAACTATCTCATATTTGGTATAAGTGCATACACTCTTAGTCAGTTCAAATGCTACAAATCCCTAGATGCTCACGAACAATTTTGCAGTGGCTGGGTGCAAGATCTGCTAAGCCACAGACCAGCAAACTGTGAATCCACAGTCGTACTCGCAAAGGTAAGGTGTCACTCTTGTTTTTTTATTATTATTATTATTAGGTTGACTTGAAAAAAGCCTACTTACTGATATCCTATTTTAGCTAATATTATTATTATGAGACAAAAATTTCGAAATGTATCTCCGCCTAGAGCTAGAACAGCGGTTCTTAATCGTGGCCACGCCTCCGCCACATATTTTGCATGTCTCTCTTGTTCAACACACCTGATTAAAATCAACATTTCACTAGAAGAGAACTCTATCTATCTGACCATATCTATCTATCTGACCCTATCTATCTATCTATC